TTGGCTAGTCGGTTCTCACCGAGTAACAGTGGTAACAGATGCATCTATGGTGTGTATTATACGCATGAGCATGATATAGTATGTTCTCTAAGGAGTATAGTTTACTTCTACACCCTCGTAGAAGAACAACTTGCGAGGATTTTTTTCAATCTCAAAAGTACATAGAGGGTCTTATAGATATTTCCTTTATTAGATTAGTCTATGGGTTGAATGATATGAAAAGAAATCCCCAGGCCACAAGGTGGGGATTAATTTCCAGGGTATCTATTACTCACATGGACTTAAAATTTACGGTAGTCTTTCTATCGTAATGACTTAAAAATTACGGTACAAGTAGTACCATAATATACAAAGCAATTACAACGTTACATAAAGTACCGTAATACATTGTTGGAACAATGAAATGCGGTACTTAGTGTACCGTAATAAAGCAAAAAACAATTATGGTACTTATAGTAACGTAATTTTTTAAAAACAAATAACGCTAGACATTGTACCCTATAACCTTAATAAAATATTACAGTACCGGTAGTACCGTAATGCTTCGTATCCCCTTTTCACCTTATAAACCCCCAAATCAAACCCTAACGGTAGAGAAAAGGCTACCCCTTTTACGGTCTTCATTGTGCCGTATTAACGCTGCTGGTGTTCAATCTCAATTTCTCTCTCCCTCATATACCTTTTTCAGGTAAGATTTAATTTCATATATTTTATTTCAGAGATTTTCGTTTAGTTTTGTAGTTCTTTGAGCAATAAATAGAAAATCCGCAAAGCATTTTTGTTCTCTGTTATTTCACCATAAAATAGATTGGTTGTTGGCTTATTTTTTATAAATTGGAATCATCTACAAAAATCCATGTTCTGACTTGCAAATCGATCAAGTTTGATGACCATGGAAATTGTTTGATCTTGGGTTATTTGAGCGAAAAATATATTGTCCACATGCAAGATGGTTTATGTTTGTCTATTTGTACAACGATTCAAGTATTGAACACTACACTTATTATTTGAAGTTCAAACGCATGGTTTTGATTGTTTTATTTTGGATTTGGAATTAGTTCATTTTAATGTAAGCTGTTTCATTTGATAGTGCACTTTTCTGTAATAATATCAGCTTTATATTGAATCTGCTGTACTTCTTTGATGGCATGAGTTATTGTTTGGATTAAAGTGTAAGTTTCAGATATAGTGGTTTAAATATAGGTACCAAATTCATCAGGGATTTAAAGAATACTTGGTAGGACATTTGAATATCATACTATAGTTTCATTTATTATGAAAATGTTTATTAATGAATAGTTTTTTGCTTTTTGATGTACAATGATTTTTAATGTATGATGGCTTTTTTAACATTGATCATGACAAAAGATGCACCTTTCCATGAAGGTCATGAGATTCCTTCATTGCTCACTAGACAAAGAGAACATATATCACAGAGGATATGGGAAAGGGATGTAAGTAGAAATATTTAGAATTATATTATGTGTCTATCATGTTAGTTAATCAATATATTTTTTAAGTATTTGAAAATGACAAGTTCTATTTCAGGATCAAAAAAATATCCTCAAAATTGATGAGAAACCTAATGCAAATGTTGCATGACCGTTAACAAACAATGACCAAATTGATTTGGTCAGGAGATCAAGATTGTACCCTTTGACTATAGTATCGATGAATCAGCATGACCGCGGCACATTATTTACAATCACCGAGAGGTGGCACGGTGAGACAAACACGTGGCAATTTAATGCAAACATCGGAGAGATGATGCCAATACTTGAAGATACCTGAAAAATTCTTCGGTTAAAGGTGATTGGTGTAGCTGTAACCGTAAGGAGAGTGGAGAACTACGAGGAACATATAATCTGCATGATAGGACAGCTGCCACCTAGTCATAGTCATTCCTTTATTCGACGAACATGGTGGAGGAATACGTTTAATCAGATACCAGAGAACTATAACCGTACTACTCTTATACGATACACCTGTGCCTACCTCTTATATCTTGTAAGGTGCACAATATTTACGGATTCCACAGATGGTACAGTCCCTACAATCTACTTACAACTTTTTTAGGATATTAGCGTAGCTGGTCAGTAGCATGGGGTGCAGCTGCATTAGCATTTTTGTTTCAAGCCTTGTCAAAGGTTGTTCATGCTGATCATCAACAATTAAGTGGATCAACCACTTTTTTGCTGGTAATTGTAGTATATTAGTGTTTTGATACTTTTTTATAAAGTTCGATAGATATTTCTTAAGCGCATGAATGTGTTTAGTGCATTAGGGGCATGAATGTGCTTTGTGCATTAGAAAGCCCGAATGCCATCACAAGCCACTCACATAGTCCATCTCGAGTTTTGAATGCGGTCTTCTATTTATCCCTAGGACGAATCCGAATTTGATGGTACCCACTCCTTAAATCAATCTTTGAGAAAACCTTAGCTCCACTAAGCATATCTAACATATCATTGAGCTTGGGTATGGAAAATCGGTACTTGATTGTACTTTTGTTAATTGCTCGACTGTCCACACACATCCTCCATGACCCATCTTTCTTTGGACTAAGTAATGTAGGGACAACACATGGTGACATGCTTTCTCGAATCAATCCATTCTTAAGCAAATCAACAATTTGTTTGTGCAACTCTTCATATTCCATGGGGCTCATTCGATAATGGGCCAAATTCGGTAGGCTAGAACCAGGCACCAAGTAAATGTGATGCTGAATATTTCTCATTGGAGAAAGACTATTAGGTAAATCTTCAGGCATCAAATCTTTATATTTCTCAAGCAGAGGTTCAAGAGACCTAGGAATTGTAGTCGGTACATAATTTTTTTTTGCGAGCAACACATAAATCACATCCATATCCTTCCTGCCCCCTTTTAAATTTTTCACATTAAGGCACTTTGAACCCTCCTCTTTAGCGGATTTAGGTGTAGGAAGTTACTTCATATGGTAGATCATGATATTAATACCATTTTTAACAAAAGAATAAGTGTTTTGTCTAGTTTTATGCACCATATCATGATCATAGAGCTATGGTCTACCAAGTAATATGTGACATGTATCCATAGGTAGTACATCGCCCCACACTTCTTCTTTATAATTAGCATCATTGGAAAAAAAAACTAAACATCGAGTAAGAACTGGTACCTCACCTCCTTTCTTGAACCATTGGATGTGATATGGGCGTGGGTGCTTATATTCTTTCAATTGAAGTTTATCCACTATCTCTTTAGACATAATATTTTCACTGCTCCCATCATCAATTAGTATTGTGCATATCTTACCTCCTGATGTACAAATTGTTTGAAAAATATTGTGCTGCAGTCACTTCTCTTCCACTCTAGATCTTGGGGTTGATAGAATGATTCGCTGGATAACTAAAGCTTCACCCCCTTTATCTCCATACAAGTCCTCAATCTCACCTTTTAAAGGCTCAGTCCCTTCATAAGATTGACTCATCCCAATATCACATTGGCCTTCATAGGTGTATCCTTCATCGACTTCTTCTTCATAATTTTCTTCGGCCAAATTAACTTTGACAGGGGGTTGACGTGAGGGGCAATTGAATGCCCTATGATCAGGTTGTTGGTACTTGAAAAACATAATTTGTGTATTATCACGAGGTGTTTTAGGTGCTCCAAGCCCTCTCCCAACACCACCTCTCACCATATTAGGGTTTGGCCTAGTTGGGAAATTCTAAGAGATTCGGTTCCACATCCTATAGATGGTCTTATAAAGGTCAAACCTTGCTGCCCCTGTGTTGAAGTAGAACCTCTTGTTACTGAGTGGTTTCTCCCAACGCTAAGATTTACTATTTCCTCTGTTTTTAGGGCCAAAGTATAGGCATCAGATATGTTATAGATATCTTTCAAGGCCAATTCATTTTGAATGCCTTGATTTAGCCCATTCAAATAACGATTTATTTTTTTATCTTTATACTCCTGTAAATTTGCCCTAAATGTCAAAATATAGAACTTTTCAGTAGAGTCACTTACCGATTTTTCACCTTGCTTGAGGTTTTCACACCTTTGGTACAAAGTTCGAGCACAATTTACTAGTAAAAAATTTTAACGCATCTTCGTCTTCATCTTTTCCCACGAATTAATTTTTCCTTTCCCAGTCGAAGACGATCCTATTTCAAATCATTCCACCAAATCAAGAAAATTATCTACATGCAATCGACAATGGAACTCTGGAATATCAATTTTTATTCCAGGTTCTCTTTCTCTTTTCAACAACCGAAGAATTCGTTCATTGAATTTGTCATTAACCGAGGCCACCCTAGGTTGGTTAGGAACAAGATGCATACATCTTTCATCTCTGTCGCATTGAGTTCCAACGTCGGTCTCCGAATTCGTTCTATCCTGAAGGTGAGCGAACTTTTGCACAATCTCATCGACTTTCGTAGCTACATCCATGAATTGGTCTCTCTACTAGTGCTTGAAGTTGAACTAATCTAGTCAATACCTTTAATCCATCGACGGGTGTCTCTTGTGAAGTCATCGGAACCCACTCTGATACCAATTGATGCAGGGAGAGAATACAACCAGAAAATTTAACAAAAAAAAAAAAAGGAAGGTTGAGAGAAAATACCCTCTCTCAGAGGTCTGTAAGGTAATTCACCTCAAAACAATCTCTTCACGAGTCCCAAGTTTTATTCAACTCACTAACTGCTTTTACAATGAAGGGAGGTTTCCCTTTTAAATAGACTAAAAAAAAAGGAAAAGAAGATAAGCAAAAAAATCCCTTCGCGCTCCTTAAACAAAAGACCAACTAAAATAACCCTAATAATTTCCCCTTATTATATCATTGCCATTTTTTTCCTTCTTGGGTTCTACGACCCTTTCTAGCTCAGTCAAGAACTATGGGCTGGGGCATGGCTGCATCACTACTATAGCTTGAAACCAAAACTTACATTGGACATTAGCTCCGGATCATGTACACATCCATGGGTGGTAGCTTCCTCCTTTAGGCTTTCTAAAGCTTAATATAAATGGGCCTCCATGCACAATCTAGGAATGCTGATTGTCGGGGTATTATCAGGAATGACACAAGTGGATTTATTGCGTCATTTGCAGCCCCATTGGGTTTTATTTCGAATAACATACTTGAATTCCTCACACTTGAGAAAGGTATTTCCCTAGCAAGGAAATTAAACTGTGTATCTCTTGTCATTGAAAGCGACTCCAAGCATCTTGTTAATGCTATGAGTAGTCATTGCAGGCCCCTTTGGAGATTATGCATAATTTTGGTTAAATGCATATATGTGCTTGTATCTTTGGATGACCATCGATGGATAATCCAACACGCATATAAAGAAGTTAATATGATTGCCGACTCCTTAGCCAAAGAAACGGTCTCTATGAATGTAGCAACCATGTGGCGTACCTGTCCTCCAGAATTTGTTACGCCTTTCATTTTATCTAATGTTGCCAGTGTTTCCTTAACAAGAGTTGTATGATTGTTTATATAACATATTCTTTGGCTTCTTAATAAAATGGGTAGGAGCCTGATATTCCCACTGATTCACCCAAAAGAAACTTCATCATCAATGCAAAGACATGCATCAAACTTCTTGCATCGGAGAATCCGACACATTTCATTTGAAAAAGTGCTTCTACATGGACCAGTAGGCATGTGGTTTCCCTGGTTTTATTGAATGATTTAAAAATCGGATCGATAGCCTGAATTGGGCACCTCAAAAATTGATCTGGATTGGTGAATCGGCAGTCCGAATCACCATTTTACTGTGAAAAAAAAACAATGAATTGGTGAAAAAACATATGAAAAACAATGAACCGGCCAAATACTGATCTGAATCGATGAATCGGCGGTTCAGCTCACCATTTTACTATAGAAATTCGTCGATTTACAGTGAGAAACTGCCGGTTTCCTTCTAAATTCAACAATTTTCTTATATACAAGCAGAACCGGAACAGGATGTCCAATTCCCAAGTCAAATTGGGCGATTCCGTGCTGACCAATGGTCTGCAAATGATGAGCATTGTTCTCCAGCGTACATCCAATGCCCTCAAAAAAAAAAAAAGAACGGGTGTGGCTTTGCTTTATATTGTAAGGTTGCGGACTTGCACTAACTTATCCCGTTATTTGCTGCATACATCTATTTATCTACATCTATATATTTCACTATTGCCAAATCTATTTATCTCTTTTTTAATGGAAATCTTTTTTTTTAATGGGCATTAATACTTATTCTTGTTATTTATCTATTTATCGTAATCTACTCGTATTTTCTTGGTTGGGTAAACCATATTTTCAAGCAGTAGTACTTTAAGAGAAAATGGATCTTTTGTGAGAGACCAATCAGGATGGGTAACATATGGGGATGAGGGTTTTGGGTAAGGTAGAATGAAATCACACGTCAACATTAAGAGGGAAAAGTCAAAATTGGGCCTTCCATCTATCTCGACCAAATCATTTCTTTTGTTGCCTCTGCCAATGCCACATATTCAACTTCAGTCGACGACAAAGCAACAATATCTTGCAACTTTGACATCCAGCTGACTGCACCACCACCAACTTTGAAAAATGTACCAAGTGTTAGATCGTCTAATATCACGGCATCCTGCATAATCTGCATCTACATAACCAACAACTTCCAATTATGAGTTCCCAAAACACAAGCATACATTTCGTGTCCCCTACAAATATCGAAGGATCCACTTAACTGCTTGCCAATGTTCCCAACCTGGATTAAACATAAACATGGAAGCAATTCCCACTGCATGGGCAACATCAGGTCTAGTAGAAACCATTGTATATATCAAACTACCCACTGCATAAGTATATAGAACATTCTTCATCTTACTTTATTTACATCATTCATTAGACGATCCTTTTTAGACAGCTTAAAATGTGTAACTAATGACGTAGAAACATGTTTACAGTCAATCATATTAAAGGGCTCAAGAACTTTAGAAATATACACAGATTGATTTAACCAAAGCTTATCTTGATTTCTATCTCTATGGATATGCATACTCATATTCTTCTTGGCTGGTCCAAGATCTTTGATGGCAAAATAATTGGACATATCATGCTTTAAACGCTTGATTTAACTTAGATTATTGCTAACAAAAAGCATATCATCAACATAAAGCAACAAAACTGTAAAAGAATCGTATGTTGAACCCTTGAAGTACACACAATGTTCAAATTCATTTCTAGAATAACCTTCATGCAGTATAAAACGATCAAATTTCTTATACCATTGACTAGATGCTTGTTTCAAACCACACAATCTCTTTTTCAACTTGCAAATTACGTTATGATTGGTTTCGTTCTCAAAACCTTCAAGTTGATACATATAAATTTCTTCATCAAGATCACCATGTAAAAAAGAGGATGTTGATCGGCGGTGTTGATTATATGGTTCTTGGGAACCCCTCGCTTGCGGAATTGGGAATCCCAAATACCTGGATCACACTTAAGATCTTGTACATGATTTGCTAAATATGAAGTAGATGAATACAACAATCGAGTGCAAGAAATAAAGCAGCTATAAAAATCACATCACAACAACACACAATTTACATGGTTCACCTATAGGGCTACATCTACGTTCTCGGTAAGTCAAAATCCACTATCACAATGAAAATTATAGTTTTGGATTATAAGAGATAATACATATCTCTAAACATCGGTAAAAGACCATTATCGATTATTCCTTTTAAACACGCTTTCCCAACCGAGTAACATCGTCGATCGGTATCTTCTTTCCCATTGCAATACCGCTATTAGAAAGAAGAATCTTAAGAGCAACCGAGAGACTTTCGCTCTCTAGAAGTGAAAGTTAGCCAACTAAAAACTCTTGGGAATACTGCCTCTTTCTCGAAGGCCAGGTCTCTGTCTATTGGAGACCTATCTCATAATAGAGATCCATTCCCATAACCCTCAAAAGAATGACCCTCAAAGGATGGTATTATGTCTTCCTTGATTCTCTTTTATAGAGATCACCTTGAGCTTATTTCTTGTTCCCCCAAGAAAGCCCTTCTCTTTTTACCATAATATCCTTAATCTTTTATTGAAAACATAAGTATTGTGACTTTGACTATCACTAAACCTAACAATCTCCACCTTGATAGTAAAATGACCATATTATCTTGTCGGCCTTCATTGAACAGTTTTCTTGATTTTTTCTCACTTGCTTCCATTGTGGAATTTTCACAAACACTTTCCCTCCATATTTCTCCACCTCAAATCACGTATCCGTCAAACTCCACCATTCATCTTTTTCTTAATGGAAACCTTAGCCCTGTATACACCTTGTCCTCTGATACCAATTGTAGGGTTCTCGAGAACCCCTCGCTTGTGGATTTGGAAATCCCAAATACTGGGATCCCACCCAAGATCTTGTACATGATTGGCTAAATGCTACGAAGATTGATACAACTATAAATCAAGCGCAAGAAATAAAGCAAACATAAAATCACACCATAACAACACACAATTTACGTGGTTCACGCATAAGGCTGTATCCACGGCTTCGGCAAGTCGAAATCCACTATCACAATAAGGATCACAATTTTGGATTACAAGAAATAATAGTTATATCTAAACATCGGTAAAATATCATCATTGATCTTTCCTTCTAAACTCGCTCTCTTGACAAAGCAACAACGTCGATCGATATCTTCTTTCTCACTGCAATACCACTATCAGAAAGATAATCTCGAGAAAAACCGAAAGACTTTCTCTCTCTATAAGTGAAAGTTAACTAATCTAAAACTCATTAGAATACTGCCTCTCTTTAGGAGGCCATGTCTCTCTCTCTTGGAAACTCGTATCCATATTGAAGATCCATTCCCATAAACTCCAAATGGGTGACCCTCTAATGATCGTATTATGTCTTCATAGATTCTCTTTTATAGGGATCACCTTAAGCTTCTTTTTTATTTCTTAATAAACTCCTTCTCTTTTTACATTAATACCCTTAATCTTTTAATGAAAATATAGGTATGATGATTTTAACTATCACCAAACTTCACACAAAAGACCTCAACTATATTTATCTCTCCAAATGCACTATACAAATATGACTATATAGAATCAAAGAAGCATAACTCATTCTAGGCCTTCCCACCTCACTTGCCTCTAAAAATTGCTAAGAAGGCCCACGTCCCTATATCTCTCTCTCCTAGGAAACCCTAGCGATAGATGCCCCTCTTGGCAAAAGTAACTCTCAGGCCATCTTGAGGCTTGAGATTTAAGCAGAAGAGAAATGGGATGAATATCGACCATTGGATGTAAAGCCTGCATTTTTTTTTGGTATATCAGGAAAAAGGGGTCTCTATCCAAAAAGATAGAACTTAATATGTGATGTTGTAGTAACCCATTACTCTGGCCAGCTATGCCTTGAATCTATATTTACTAAACTAAAAATAGAAGTATTAATGTTGTAAGTACGGGACAATTGTTTTTGGTTTTTTACATGAGTATATAAAGAGTCCATTTATTTTTAACACAAGAAAGTCATAATCACTCTTGTCTGTTAGATTTCAAATTTAATAGTTTGCAAATATGTCATTGACTAGACTCAAAGTTCTAAAAAAAAAAAAAATCCTTAATTTTGTGATGCACTCCAATCCACCTAGTTTTACATGGAATGGCTAGTAGCAATTGTGACTTCATGTGACAAAAACAAATGGTCTCGTGATATACGATAATTATAGATGATTGCCTGGCTGATCTCCGTTATCCATGGCTAAATGACCCTACTTATCATAATTTTTCATCGTGGTATTTCAGCCGAAGTACTTGTGTTTCTTTCATTTTCCTTCCTGAGATATTTGGTGAGTTTTTACACTCTTCTACCAATAGAGTGTCTACATTTGGTTGGCTTTTTTCTTTTTCTTTTTTTATTTCTTTTTTATTTGCAAAAAGGATAAAGCCCCAAAAAGAAACAACCCACTTTAATGAAGATTGCGTTCTTATCCGTCAAACTTTCTATTATTGGTGACCCTATCACATGCATCATTCCCTTAACTTTCTCCTTTTGCTTGCGATCGATAGGGAACCCAATAAATCATATCTATCTCCGCATTGAGATAGTATTCATCCTTTTCGAAATATCCAATATGCTGTTAACTATGATATTAACAACATTGCCAATAATTTTCCTAATAACTAATTACATTCTATAGACATTAGCTGTAAGAGATGTCCCTCTCAATTACCTTCATACTTCCACATAGACATTTCCAACTATTAAAAATTAAGCCTTATAGCTAACCCTATAGCTAAGGAGAAGCTGAACTCCACAAAACACAGATTTTCTATGGGATTAGATTTTGCATGACATCATTGATATCTAAAAATGTTCAGTTAAAAGTATTTAATTAACTTTTTTTAGCCACCGGATTTGACATCTTTATTTCAGCTCCATTAATGCGCATATGACATGGGAGCAATACTGTACGCTTACTCCCTCAGGCCTAAGTT